GAACATGCCCAATGCATCCAAAAACTCGAAAATAATCAACATTAGGTTTTACGCCACTCCAAGCCTCCTTAGGAGTCATATCTTCCACTACCATTGTAGGACTTCTGTTGAGCACGTGCATTGTCCAGTTTACTGCTTCTGACCAGAAATTCTTTGGAACTTCCTTCTCTAATAATATACTTCTAACCATGTTCATAATTGTTCTGTTCTTGCCCTCAGCTACACCATTTTGTTGTGGAGTGTAGGCTGTAGTAAGTTGTCTACTAATACCATTAGTTTTGTGAAAATTGTTGAACTCATGAGAGGTGAACTCTCTACCCCTATCCGTGCGTAGACAACGAATAAAATCTTCAGTCTCTTTCTCAACAAGATTTTTGAAATTCTTGAAGATTTTTGAAATTCAAGAAAATATGTCCACATGTTGCTGCTGTAGTCATCAATAAAACTTATAAAATATCTCTTCTTACGGTTGGAAAGAGGTTTGATGGGTTCACAAATGTCTGCATGTACCAATTGCAGTCTTTGTGTTACTCTCCATAAACTTCTGTTTGGAAATGCATGCCTTTGTTACTTTCCCACCATGCAATTAGTGCATATTTTAGACGATGCTTTCAATTGGGGTAACCCCCTCACCATTTGCTTATGTTGCAATGTTCTCAAACCTTTGAAGCCTAGGTGCCTATATCTGCAGTGCCAAAGATGAGTGTTGTCTTCTATAATTGTTTGGAAGCGAGTGGTGGTTTGTGACATGATTCTTGCAAGTAATATGAACATTCTATTTGTAGACATTGTTGTTTGCATAATAAGCCCTTTCTTGGGATGATTCATTTTGCATTCTCCATGTTGTATCACATTAGATACACCTCTTTCTTGCAATTGTCCAAAACTTAGGAGATTGTTGTTCAACTCAGGTATATAGAAAACATCAGTGATTACCTGAGTGACTCCAGCAACTTGCAATCTAATGTTACCTTTTTTCAACACTGCCATCTTGAAATTATTTCTAAGCTTCACAGATTGTCTGAATTCCTCGTCAAAATCTGAGAACCATTCCTTGTTTGCATACATATGATTGTTACACCCCGAATCAAGGAACCAAACATCATCCCTCCTTGATTGATTGAACTCCACATATGACATCAACAAGATTTCTTCTTCATCCTCAAGCTCAGCATAATTTGCTTCCTTTTCCCATTGAGGACACTCATATCTAAAGTGTCCTAACTGATGACATTTATAACATTCAACGGTAGTTTTGTTGAATGGATGTCTACCTCTTCCTCTTCCTCTACCTCTTCCTCGAAAAACTTTACGAGCTCGACCAACTCCTCTTCTACCGAATCTGGTATCATATGTCACCTTTAGTGCTTGTTCATCACTTACACGTCCATTCAGTCTTTACTCATGTACTAGTAAGCTGCTTTGCAATTCATCGATTGTTAAAGTGTCTAAGTTATTAGACTATTCAATCGAACATATAAAATAGTCAAATCTTGAGGTCATGGATCTCAAGATTTTTTCAATAATCACCACTTGTTTCATGTGTTCGCCATGAATTTTTATCTTGTTTGCAATGGTGAGAGTTCGAGCAAACTATGCATCAACACTCTCACCTTCTTTCCTCTGTAGGACTTCAAACTCTTTCCTAAGAGCTTGGAGTTGAGCTCTTTTGACTCTTGTGGAACCCTGGTACTTCTGCTTCATAGAGTCCCAAATTTATTTTGCCGTATCTCTATTAAGGATCGTTTCCATAATAGTTCAATCAATGGCTTGGAACAAATAATTCTTGACCTTCAAGTCTTTCAGCTTCTGGTCTGCAATTATTTTTTGTTGTGCTACGATAATCTCTCCTTCTGCTGCGGCAGGGATTTCGGTCTCCACCAAAGACCAATATTCCTTTGAACGATTTTTTTTTCCATAAGCATAAGCCAATGCATAATGACCATCAAACTTAGGAATTGCCAGTTGAACGAAATTGCTTTCAGTTGCCATATTTTGAATCTCTTTTAGCTCACTCTTTAAAAAAAAAAAAAAAAACTGCAGTTTCTTCTTCTCACAATCAGGCCTTGTGATGTGGCTCTGATACCAAATGTTGTAAACACACAAACTAAAGCTTTGAAATCAATTGCATTGACAAACGAATCAACTTGGTTTTCTTTTATAGCCCTACATACTAACAACTTTAGAAAGTATAAAATTAGTCACCTCTAACAATAGGAAAAACAACCATCCACTACTTAATTTAGTGGTTTTACTGTTCATAGAGAAGTGGACATCAACCCTAGAGAAAAGGTCTAGTATGACTTTGGACATCAACCCTAGAGAAAAGATCTAGTATGACTGTCTTTAACAGTTTCTAGGCAACGGATTTGGCGATTGTGCGGCACCCACTCTCAGCACTGAGTTGGTCAAGCCTACCTCGAGTTACGTTGCCTGCGGTTAGGCAACGTGAATACAAACCTTAGGTCTCAATTTCAAGAGAAGTTTTTAGAAAGCGGGGGAGAGAGGTTTTGGAAAAAGAGTTTTGAAAGCAAGAGAGAAATAAAGAGTTTTGAAAGCAAGAGAGAAATTGAAATTGGTGTTCTATGAGAATGTAAGCAAAAGGCAACAACAACGGCTTACTCATATGACTATCGGATAGGGAGAAGTTGACAACTAGTCATATCCCCTTGTAGTACATTTTGAGGCATTTCATGTCTACCAAGTGTAGCCATGACATCCCCGAAATGTCATATTCTTAAAGAAAACAAGAAAGAAATAATACAACATGAAAGCAGTAAAAGAAAGAAATAAAGTAGTACAAGGCAAAGGTTTCGGCGTGTCACGAGCATGTGGTCATGGGCAACATGCCTTGGACAAACATGAACGTAACACTAAATATCATTCTATGATTGAATGACTATCACATCATTAATGTTAATCAATCATTTAAGTTAATTAATGTCAATTAATGATTTATAGGTTCTTTTTAAACAATATTCTATATTTAAAATTAATTTTCAAATTTTTGTATGTGAAATAACTTTTAAAGAAACATATACACAAATATTCTTTATAATGAAGCTACTTAATTAAATTTCTAAAAATAAAATTTTTTCTTTCCTATAAAATAGAAATTTATTTTAATCCTTTTTCGTGGCTCTTTTTTTCTTTTTCTTCTCCTTGTCCTCGTGAATGAGATATCATGTGTCACTACTCAGCGTCACTATTCAGTGAATCAACCAACTCGAATTCGTGTCGTCTTTGGTCGAACGACATATATCCAAGCATCTGATCTTGTTTTAAGTAGAAGGTTTTATAAAATGAGGGCATAAATATTTGTAAAAGAGAGTTTGAAAGCAATGTTATACACTAGTGAGCAAGAAAAACAACACAACGGTTTAGATAGCATCTAACACCATGTATGAACAATTGATGACTAGTCGCATCCCCCTATAGTACATTTTGAGGTATTTTCAGTATATAAGGCATAGGCATGAATTTTTTGCAACATCATATTCCTAGAAAATACGAAGAGAAAACTATACATCATAAAAGCGATAAATGAAAGTGATAAAAGCATTATAACATGAAGAGTTTGACATGCAACAGACAAAACACTTTAGTCAATCATGACTGTGACACCATACCATCCGAGAAAAGTCTGACAATAACTAAGGGCTAGGTTATGTGCTCTTAAGGGTGGACCTTCCTAGACCGAGCCGAGGCCATATGGGTCAACCCCTTTTGGAGCAGGGATAAATGGAATGGTTCTAAGATAATCTAAAACTTTAATTTCCAAACTTAATAAAAAAATTATATATATATATATATATATATATATATATATATATATATTATATTTTGCATAATTTAGAATTTTTTATTTGTCTAATTATTTAAATTTTGATTACTTTCAAAATAAATTACATTCTTTTAAGTTTTAAAATAATGTTTATAGTACTAATTTGTGTTTTATTAAGTTTGGATGAAGAGACCATTTATTTTATTACTTTAAATATGATTCATTTGAAAATAAAATATATATTTTTATTTTAATATGTTAACAATCTTTTATACTATTTTCTTAATTATAATACAAATTAGACCTTTTCTTATCTTAAAATTATAAAAATTAATTATATTCTTTTTTTATCTATTATTTGTTAAATAAAAAAATTTATAGATTAATTATATGTTTATCGAATCAAACCAACTCGAATTTATTATTAATATTAAAATATATATTTTATCGTATGATACAATGCATATATTTATTTATTTATGACCATTTCTTAAAAATAACTTTTAACTTTATTTTCTCAAAATATATATTAAAATTGAATTGCAAAATTTAATTAAATATTTAAACATAGAGGTTGGATTTAAATAAATTTAATAACAGTTGTTTGTATTTAAAAATTTACAATCGAAACCATAGGATTAAGTATAAAAAATGTCTCAACTCAATTATCAAACACCCTTAATAATTTTTACTCATCAATTTAAACATAATTTAGCAGATAAGATGACAGTTCGATTGGTTTTTCTAGGTTTTTTCGTAAATTCAATCAATAATAATAATAAAAAGAGATGAAATTAGAAAACGACAATGGCAAAAATTGTCCACAGTATTTATCATTATTATTAATTTTATTGCTTTATATATAAATTTTAAAGTATTTTTCGGTCTCTTTTGGAAAAGGAAAAAGCCTCTTTATTTTCCTTCCTCTTTTCTAACGGTAAAAATCAATTAGTTGTGGGCTGAAGAAATTTTCTACCATTCGTGTAACGTATATACAGTCACACGTGTCACAATCACACTCTTGTCGAGAGAGTGATTGTGCGACACTTGTTCTAACACAGCGAACAAATTAGTTGTGTGAGATTCGGACTTTGTAGACAATATTGGTGTGTACTCAAGCCTCGGGCCACGTTTGACAGAAATATTTTGAAAAACATGAGCGAGGAAATACTTTAAAATTGATTTTAAAGAGGCAATGTTATAAGCTAAAAACAAGTAGCAACAACAACTTTAATAGCATATAACCAGAAAGATTTGACAACTAGTACATTTTTGGGCATTTTAGCCTTGATGGGGACAACAACAAGTACATTTTGACACAACACCTCCGTATTGACACAAGGAAATATTTAACACTTATTTAACATGAAAGCAAGTAAAAGAGGGTTTGGAATGCATATCCGACCATGGACAGCACGTCCTAGACAAGCATGACCGAAACATCCGACATGCGGTTACAGACAACATATTTAGAACAAACATGACCGTGACCACCCACAATGTTCATAAATGGAACTTTATTTTTGAAAGTGAAATGCTCCAATATGATCCCACTTGGATAGATGAACCAATTTGATTGGCTAATCAAATTGTTGTTCCAAATCCTTCCACAAAAAACACTTCGTCAATATCCATTAACAAATTCAACTACAATTGCTCCATGAATCATCATTTTCAACTTTCATAGTTGCGTCTAATTAGTCCTAAAAATAAAAATATCATCCTGATTCAACGTAGTCCATATTCTAAACACATTAAGTAAATGGCAGTTGGGAAGAAATGCTAGAGTCTGCTTAGATAACTTCCTAAGTATTTTAAGCGTTCAGTACTACTTTACTTACGAACCAACAGCAACAACATAAATATTCTCAGATGTTTTGAAACAAAGTTTGGCATCAGAGCCAGACACCGAGTAATGTGTTAGTAAGAACACTGAGCCTCGAAGGGTGGTGGACATCAGGCAGTGTGCCAACAAAGATACTAGGCCCTGAAGGGAGGTGGATTGTGAGATCCCACATCGATTAGAGAGGGGAACGAGTGCCAGCAAGGATGCTGGGCCCTGATGGGGGGTGGATTGAGAGATCTCACATCGGTTGGAGAGGAGAACGAAACATCTTTATAAGTGTGTGAAAACCTCTCCCTATCACACGCATTTCAAAAACCTTGAGGCCAAGTATGGAAGGAAAAGCCCAAAGAAGACAATATCTATTAGCAGTGGATTTGGACTGTTACAAATGGTATCAGAGCTAGACATTGGACGATGTGCTATGCTAGCAAGAAGACTAAGCCCCGAAAGGAGGTGGACACGAGGCGGTGGCTGGGCCCCTAAAGGGGGGTAGGGGGTCCCACATTGATTTAAGAAGGGAATGAGTATCAACGAAGACGCTGGACCCCGAAGGGGTGGATTATGAGATCTCACATCAATTGAGGAGGAGAACGAAACATTCTTTATAAGGGTGTGGAAACCTCTCCCTAGCAGACACGTTTTAAAATCTTTTCGGGGTGGTTTTCTAAAGGCAAACTCAAAGAGTGTTTCCGATGAATCTTGCAAGAGCTATCCCGTCGCTTATTTGGAAGGAGGCGTACTCGACGGTGTTCAACGATGTCTTATCACTTTGTCCCTTGGGTTGTTTTGTTCAGCTTTTGGCTCTAGAAGGCTATTCCCATGTTTCTCATTCAAAACTAAAAAGAAAAAAGAAAAAACAAAGAGAATATCAGCCCCTCTTATTCTAAAACCGAGCAGGATTATTGTCATGTACATAGATTCATATCATTTTCAGTAAAAGCCCCAGCAAGGAGCTTAGTTCGAACAGAAAACAACACATTTACAGAGTTCACAAACAAAGAAGACAAGCTTACTCTTCCTTTGATTTAAGTTGTCTAGCAAGTAAGACTAATCCCACAGCAGTAAAAGCAGACAAAACCGCCGACGAGTATGAAACCGCCAGTAGAGCGCCTCTCAAAGACTAGGATATATAAATCATCAAATTACCATTAAGCATTGAACTTAAGAATCAAAATAATCATAAGGTTCTAGTACCTTGGCTAGAAGTAAAGCATTATCATTTGCATACTGCAGAGAACTCTCAGGAATGCTCTGAACGCCCTGACCCAGTTGCCATGAAATTACTCTGCATTTTACATTCAAGACATGAAAGGGATATGCTTTTCATCTGATAAATGAAGAAAAAATTGAAGAATTGAGTTAAAACGAGTGGTGATTACCCAAATACGACACCGATTGCTGCACCGATGTTCGCCTTATCGGCAGTCAGTTCAACTTGAAGCTCTCCGAACTGAAGAGTGGAACAATATTACTGTGAGATCCCCACATCAGTTGGGGAGGAGAATGAAACGTTCTTTATAAGGGTGTGAAAACCTCTCCATAGTAGACGCGTTTTAAAAAGCCTCGAAGGAAAGCTCGAAAGAAAAGCCCAAAGAGGACAATATCTGCTAGCAGTGGGCTTGGGTCATTACAAATGGTATCAGAGCCAGACACCGGGTAATATGTCAGCGAGCCCTAAAAGGGGGTGGACACGAGGCGGTGTGCTAGCAAGGATGTTGAGCCCTGTCGGGGGTGGATTGGGGGCCGCACATCGATTGGAGAAGGGAATGAGTGACAGCGAGAACGTTGGGCCCCAAAGGGAAATGGATTGTGAGATCCCACATCAATTGGAAGGAGAACAAAACATTCTTTATAAGAGTGTAGAAACCTCTCCCTAATAGACGCATTTTACAATTACTTTTACAATTACTTGGATTGTGAGATCCCACATCAGTTAGAAGGAGAACAAAACATTCTTTATAAGAGTGTAGAAACCTCTACCTAATAGATGCATTTTAAAAACTTTGAGGGGAAGCCCGAAAGGGAAAGCTCAAAGAAAACAATATCTGCTAGCGGTGAGCTTGAGCTATTACAATTACTTGAATAAAGTTCAAGATGGTTCAAATCTGCAAAATAATGGTTTATTTGTAATTTATACGTTGCATCAAATATAAAGTTCAAACCTACCTTAAACATTCTGGTTTCATCCTTCGGCTGTTCGGCCACTTTCGGAGCAGATGATGCAGACAGAAGCTTTCCAGTTGTGTTCATTGCTTTGGCAATCTACAATTGTGAAAACTTCCAAGAAACTTAGAAAAACTTGAATGATAAACTTTTGTACCGACGAGATTTATAGTTCGATTTTCCATTTTCCTATGAACAAAATTACAGGGTAGAACCTAACACGTTGATATTTCCTCGACCTCGAGAAGGAATACATAACGTCATTGACTTTCCAATTATGCAGAGCATAGGAAACCGTATATAGTGAACAGAATCTCTAAGCAATCTCAAATCTTTTCGCACATTAACTCGAAAAATTCATACAATATGATTGATGAACACAAAAGCTTTGATCATGAAAAAGTAATTTTGGGTTTACGATGTACCTTCTGTAGTTCGCCCTGACCGTACTGTCCCATTGATTGGAACCTTCTTCCAGCAGATATCAAACGCTTGCCAAGTCCTAAACAGAGAGAGACCAAACAAGGTCACATTTATTTCTTCACAAAATACTTGAGTATCAATTTCCTTGAGTCCTGTTCTTGCCTGACTTGTAATTTTCGGTCAAAGATTGCACCAACGAGGGGAGCTTGCTTACTAAAGTATGTGAAGTGGAGGTGTCAGCTACTTCCCATGCTCGAGAGAGATTTAGCAATATTTCTCCCATTTCTTGACCACACTGAAGCAGAGATTCTAAAATTCTCAGTACATCACAAATTTGTAGCAGAGAATCCACATTTATTTCAAGTTGAGAGTTGAAAATCAATACGTCCATCCTATTACGACGGTTTTACAATAAAGAAGACTTGAGAATAAACAATAAGAAAAGAAGCATGCGTAGCAGAGAGGGTGCATTTAGGAACCACGACCTCCACAATGGTATGATATTGTCCAGTTTGAGCATAAGCTCTCATGGCTTTGCTTTTGGTTTTCCCAAAAGGCATTGTACCAATGGAAATGTAACTTATAAACCCGTGATCAACCCCTTAATTAGCCGACGTGGGACTCCTCTCCCAACAATCCTCAACAATCTTTCCCTCGAACAAAGTATACCATAGAGCCTCCCCGGAGGCTTATGGACCCTCGAACAGCCTCCTCTTAATCGAAGCTCAACTCCTTTTCTGGAGCCCTCAAACAAAGTATACCCTTTTTACGACACTTGAGTCACTTTTGACTACACCTTCGAGGTTGCAACTTCTTTGCTCGACATTTAAGAATTCTATTGACATGGTCAAGTTAAGGACATGACTCTAATACCATGTTAGAAATCACGACCCTCCACAATGGTATGATATTGTCCACTTTGAGCATAAACTCTCATGGCTTTGCTTTGGGTTTTTCTCAAAAGGCCTCATACCAATGGAGATGTATTCCTTACTTATAAACCCGTGATCAACCCCTTAATTAACCAATGTGGGACTCCTTTCCCAACCATCCTCAAGCATCTTTCCCTAACAATTTTTTCTAATTTTCTTGTTTCTTCTTGATAATTTCATTGTAACATTCTTTTTGGGTTCAACAACAATATGGATGTGGGGTTTCAAACACTTAGGCTCCTAACGATAGTAATATATTTGTCTTTACCAGTTGAATTGTCGACAATTTTTTTTTTTGTTACATTTTCTACGATAGTTTGTACGCAGGCCTTTCTATGAGATCTCACATCGGTTAGAGAGGGGAACGAAGCATTCTTCATAAGAGTGTGAAAACTTCTCCCTAATGTTTTTAAAACCCTGAGGAGAAACTCAGAAGGAAAAGCCCAAATAAGACAACATCTACTAGCGGTGAATTTGGATTGTAACACTTTCCGTTCGAGTGTATTTTGGATAACTTTTAAAAAAGTGCTTTGAAAAGAGGGCATATCTTTTGAAAAGTGCAGCTAAAAGCACTGTTAACCTTCCAGAAGTCATTCCAAACACAAGGTAAAAGAAATCACTAATAAGCATCATTTTCCAATCCGATCACGAAACCAAAATGGATATGAACACGCCTAAACAAGCAAAGATACAAGCGATAAGAACAGAAACGGTACCTCATCAATAACGGGTCCATTAGAGAGATCGAACGCAGCATCATTGAGCTTCACATACAAAACAACGTAATGGATATTAATCTCAATCCCAAAAACCGAAGAACATTAAGAACAGAGCTACAGAATGACACAAAAACAAAACAAAACACATCGAATCTAAAACTTCCTCTTACATCAAGACGAAGATCACGGGGAAGTTTTTCGAAGTAATCTCGCGAGAGATCAAAACTGTCCTGTACATAAAATTAAAACAGCCACAAACAATCAAAACCCTAACAGAAAATTGGATATGAACTGAACGAAATCGAGGGGGAAAAGTTGAGATGAAGCCCATACTTACGGCCAGTTCTTGAAGGAGAACTTGGGGGTCGGGTTCTAAGGACTTGGCGGAGTCGGATTCGGCGAGAGCAAAGGAAAGAGTGAGGGGTTTTGGTGAAAGGGGCTTTGGGGCAAAGGAGGGTTTGAAGCGGATTGGATGGGAACATTGGGAAGAGAGAGGGGCAGAATGGGAAGAGAGAAAAGTGAGAGGTTGAAGAAGGTGAAGAGAAGCCATTGGAGGTAAGAGAATCTGGTGTGTTCAGAGCCACTGGATTTTTTTAGCAGTTTAAGAAGAAGGCTGTTTTTTAAAATATATATATATATATGTTTGAATGTTAAATCTTAATTAAACATTTAAAAATAAATAAATAAATGTTTTACCAATTATAATAAAAAAATAAATAAATTACAATAATAATTTAGATATAGATTAATGACTTTATCAACAATAATTTATTACATGGTTCAACTCTCGTTTCTAATAACGAAGGTACCCTAATTAATAATATTGAAAAATGGAAATCGAAAGCTTCACTAAAATGATCATTTAAAAAATAATAATAATGTTCGCTTGCCGAGCTCAATTTTCACAAATTCTCTAGAGCATTCACGTTCCAATGCCTGTAAAAATAAATAGAAATTTCATGGAGATAGGAAATGAAATAGGTGACACGAATGGACATCTTTATATAACAGTTAATAATAATCATCTTCCTCTTATCCTGTCTCAAAATGAAGGACCCCACCTGAACTATACAATTACCATAATGAAGCGTGCGGATTTTCCATATTCGATACCCGACATTATAAATGAAAAACTACAAGAAAAAGGAATAGCTTTGTACCTAGACATCATCCTCCAACTTTGGCAACTTTTCTTTGCTGAATTTGGGCTGTTAATGGACACTGCATTTCTGTCCAACTTATGGGTACCATCACTGCACCTAAAGTAACATTCAATCCATAATAGAGAGTTACATACAATAAAACGCAATAGCCTTGTGGGCTTCACAGAAGGCGACATTCAAAACCTTAGCCACATCAAGCCCTTAAAATGATGAACCAGGTACACAAGAATTGGCATTTTGAATTATGGCCTTATTTAATTGAAGGATTATGGCCTTATTCTTCCGAGAACGGAGTAAGAGGGTCAGCTACCTAACTAATCTTCATAATTAAATATCGTTACAGTATATGTAGATCTTGTTGTGAAAGACCGATTACTAGCTAATTCATGGGTAGAGCCAAAGAGGGTGAATTGTACCCGTTAACAATAACATTGATGAAATAAAAGAAGGAGCTCACCATTGAAGAAGTAACCATAGAAACGAAGGAACCCACTATTTCTTTATCCATTTCGATTTTTTTTTATTTACTCGATGTTTTTTTTTTATACCATAGAACTCACTATTTAATCCAACACCAAAAAGATGAAATAAAATTGTCTCCATCCAGAAAACAACGCCTAGCTGTTGCAAATTCAGACAGAAAGGATACAACAAGAGCTTTGACAATGTCACCAGGACGAAATGAGAAATGCATATCTACTTTATCAATCTCTGTTGCTCGAACGTCTTGTTGGCTACAGCCTGCGACTGTTTTATTCAGTCAGAGTTATAAGAGAAAACACGTGGAAAACTTCACCTTTGGTCCTGTCCCTAATATAATACAATAATACACCAAGGTAACAGTTTCTTCACCGAACACCAAAACTGAACAATTTTTTCACTTATTCTTATTAGTATTAAATATTTGTTCAACTCTCAACGATATTTGTTCAACAATTATCTACGAATATGTTGGAATGCAAATGTAAGTCCTATATTGGCTAGAAGAGGTGAAGAATGATTCATGTTATATATTTTGGATAGACCCAAAAGACAAATTCATAGAGGCGTACGTCAAAAGTGGACAATATCATACCATTGGAGGAGTGTGCTATTCCAACAAAGTAAATGTTCATGGACGTCAATATCAATATCATACCATTGTTTCTAAATATAAATGGAATGCGAAATGGTGGAGGACTCCTATGAAAAGTGCTCGCTCGTTTAAAGGTCCTTCGACCCAAATCATGTAGAACATTCTTCTCCCCGACGATTCGTACTCATATCGTCACCATTTGGACTTGTTTTTTGTAACTTCTTGTTGTGCGGGGATATCTCATCTCCCCTATCTGACTAGTAATTACATGAAGAGCTAATCTGAGGCAGAACTACTAGCATGCATGCAATCCGAGCGAATCCTACAAGTATTTCTTTCTAGATACCGGGTGGTGACTTACCTGGTTGACGCGCGCCCTTTCGCTATCGTTTCTTTGCCCGTGAGGTGTCCAAAAATACTGATTTCTCTAAATTAGGTCCCTAATCATGGAAAGACAGTATTAGAACTGGAACCGGGACAAAAATCGAAAAACAGAAAACAACCGGGCCAAATTGGCCGTTCCACGCGCGCTCACGTGCCAGCAACACGCTGGGAGTGCATGGCCACGCGCGCGGGAAGGCGCCAGTCGCAGGCTGCACGCGCGCCTGCCACGCGCGCCCACTCCCGTGCAGTCGCGGGTCGGCCGGCTCGGCTCGCGTTGCGGTTCGGCCTGGCTTGCAGGCGACACGTGTCGACGCTTCGCTGGAGCTGCGTTGCTCCAGCCGGTGGTCGACGCGTGTCTGGTGCCTGTCGCCGCCCTCCGCCGCTTGCCGGCCGTTTTTTTTTTTTCTTCTTTCTTCTCTATCCTCTGAAAATCGAAACCCAGTCGATTTTTTCCGATTTTCATATCTTTTGATCCATAGATCAGATCGATATGATTCCTTTGAAAAAGTTCTAGATCGTGTTACAGGCTACGTCCTAGTATTTTTTTTGTAATTGTTTCTTGACTATCGGAGGATTTAAGAACGCCGGAAGTTCGCTCACCGTTCTCGAACGACTCTCGGATCTCCGCCTTTGGGTTGAGGTCTCAGCCAAACTTCTTCACAGACCGTGCGTGAGTTGTTCTTAGGTGAAGATTTCAACATTTTAGGGTCGATTCACGTAGGGAAAAACTCAGATCTGAGCAATGTCATTCAGAAACCTTACCTCGCGAAATGTTCTTAGGTTTTGATGGAGCGTCGGCCTTGCTAGCCTCTCAATCCTGGTACGAGTCTCGTCTGGAGATGGATTCCGGCGGTGGTCAATTAATCTTCCCGGCCACTCCTCACTAATTTCGTTAATCTTCCCGGCCGACTCCTCACTAATTTCTCTCTAACCCCTTCTTTCTTTTGCAGGCAATCTGGCGGGGTTCTCCTTGGACCCCTATTTGGGCTGGAGGGGCAAAATGACATTTTTGCCCCTCAGTTGACTTAGCCCCCCGCCCTTTTTTTTCTTTTTTGCGTTACATAATATGTCTAACCCATGAAGAGGGATCGTCGCTTACCGACGATGCTGCCTTGGCTCTAGTGAGAATATGTCAACCCAAGAAGTAGAAGGGGAAACCTAGAGTAAGGGACAAAGACAATGTTGAAGCCGGAAGAGTCGCCACAGTGGGCGAAGGAGCCAATTTTGGCTAGAAGGGCGGCGGCGACTTGGTTGGCGAAGAGGCCACTGCGGCACCTAGATTCCAATGGTAAATCTCTGCATAAGGTTGATAGGTTTAGGTTAGGGTTTCTGTGAAGGATGAAGGGAAGATTGGGAAGAAAATGAAAGAGACTATGTTGGTCGAGGGAAAATCGATTGTGTTGGAAAATGTGAGATTGTATGTACAAAGTATGGCGAAGGGTGATTTTGAAGTCAAAAGGGTGGAGCCGAAGAGTAATCAATCGGCTCCGCATGTGGCAGTTATAGAGTCTGCCCCTGCGGCATCAAAGCTAGCAAGGGTGGTGGAAAAGAAGATGAGTAGGGGATTCAGAAGCCATTGAAAATAAGGGATTGGGGTTGTTAAACCGAAAGGGTTCTGATACCATGAGAATGTTTGCTTAATCCACCACACCAAGTGTGAAAGTTATCTTATTTATAATCAAATAAATTACAAGGATATGGAGAGAGTAATAAACGGAAATAACAATAAATAGAAAGATACCTATGGTAACAAGACAAATATCTAGATATTTGACTTATAATAAAATATCAAATATATATGGTAAACTATAATTTATTACTAAATATCCTTAACACACACCAAACCAAGTGAACATGTTCATTTTGAGAAACTTGATCATAGTCCTTCTATCGCTGGATAGACAAGCTATAATCCACCCACTTGGACACGTAGTCCACAGTTACCGCACATTCATCCCCCCTATCCTTTCATTACCGCACATTCATCGATCCAGTTCATCCCCGTGTGGATTTGTTCTGGCCTTGTGGATAAGTGTGCAGGTTGATACTTCTTTTGCAGGTTCCTCTTTGCTACCCTCAACTTTTGATCCGGCCTCTATTGAACCTACTACTAATTCCTCTTCTTCTTTGGGCTCTCATTCTATGATCACACGAGGCAAAGATGGTACCTTCAAGACTCGTCATCCAGCAAATCTTGGTATTTTGGGCTCACCTGGACTTCTTTCTGCTCTTCTTGCATCCATTGAGCCAAAAGATTTCAAATCTGTGGCTAAAAATCCTGCTTGAGTTGCTGCCATGGATGAAGAAATTCGAGCTTTTTACAACAAAATGACACTTGGACTTTGGTTCCTCGCCCTGCCAACAACAATATTGTGGGCTCTAAAATGGATCCATCAAGCATTTCAAGGCTCATTTTGTTGTCAAAGGTTATACTTAGATTCCTGATCTTGACTACATTGACACTTTTAGTCTGGTTGTCAAAGCTACCACTGTCCGTGTTGTGCTTTCTATTGCGATCATAAATAAATGGCGTCTTCGGCAACTTGATGTTAAGAATACTTTCCTCAATGACACTGTTATTGAATATGTTCATATGGAACAACCTCATGCGTATATTGATCCTTGATTTTCCAACTCATGTCTGTCTCTTAAAGAAAGCCCTTTATGGCTTAAAGCAAGCTCCTCGCGCCTGGTTTCAGCGTTTTAGCTCATTTCTTCTCACACTTATTTTTCTTGCAGTCGCGCTGACACGTCCCTTTTTGTCTTCAATTAGCAATCTAACCTTATCTATTTGCTTCTTTATGTTGATGACATTATTGTTGCCGGCAACAACTTATCTCTCATTGACAGTTTTACTCCAAGCTTCATTCTGAGTTTACTACGAAGGATTTGGGTTCTCTCAGTTATTTTCTTAGTCTTGAAGCTTCACTCACTCCTTATGATCTCTTTATTAGTCAGTTAAAATATGTTCGAGA